CCCCCCCCTCTTCCAAAAGAAAACAGACCCTAACTCTGAGTAAGACATTAGGTTCGTTTGATTTAGTTCCCAAATGCACCCTGAAGCAACCATTTTCTTAATCAACTCTTTTAACCTAAGTTTGGGTCTTCAGGTACGATATTAGGTTAGGGACTTACGACACATTTCAAGATTGTGTGTCCGTTATGAGACTATACAAACGCATGCGTGCTCAAGAACATCAAGAGGGAAAGACCGGAACATCATATAGTCATGATACCAAATGGAACCGCAATATGGCTGATCAAACATCACAAGATCTCGAGAACATGTCCCCAGATGAACTCTTTCAAATTTCCAAATCAAATTACCAGTGTTGGTGCTTGGACTCTCGGCCACACGATCCAATTCGAGATTGGAGCTTGTGAGTTTGATGGTGACTCAAGAAACAAAATTGTGCATAGTAAAAGAAAAAGATATCAGTTTGTTTCATAAATTCAGAGGTTTTCATTAAACCAGTCTCTCTAGTCTCTACGCTTAGCTCAGGTTTCGTTTGGTTTGGTTTGGTTTGTTAGATTGAAATCTCGAGTTTCAAAGTTCAAGTTTCTCTTGGTTGTTAATATATATGGTGGTGACATGAAAGAGGCCTTTTTAAGTCATTGGAGAGATTTTCTTAATTGTTAATTATCGTAATTTATTTACCTTTTGTGTAATGTCGGATAATTCTTGCCATCTTATAATGAGACCCTTCGAGTCTTGGTTAGTTATAGGCGATTCGAGTTTTTAACGAGCTACTCGAGCTCATTTATCTCAAGCTTGAGCTTAATAATCTTGGAGTTTGAGCCAATCTCGAAAACAAGATAGAACTCGTTTAACTTAATAAGTTGAGCTTGATAACATTCATGTTCGACTTGGCTCGTTTGAAAACTCGATTCATATCCTTAAGCTGAGTTGAGCCAAGCCATACGAGCATACACTTTTTCGAGACAAACATGCTCATATATTTATTAATCATACAAGAAAAATATAAAAAATCTCGAGCTCAAATCGATAAACGAGTCAATCGATCGTGAGTTCGAACCCATAAACAAGCATCGAGCTCGATAACTCAAAAAATATTCGAGCTCGATCCCGACATTGAAAAAGTTAATCGAGCTCGAGCCTCGTATTAATTTTTCGAGCTCGTCTCGGTTAACCTACTACTTAACTCGTTTATACCCGTAGTTAGTTTTATGATTATTCCTTAATTTATACATTAATGACTTGTATAGTAAGAACATCTTCAGGAGATTTTTCAAAATGCAGAAAATGAAGATTTTATGAGAGTTTTTACGTTAGATAGATCTTCCAAAATGGAGAAACCTGAGAAAGAGATTGAAATAAAGTATCAAAAGTCAAAAAATAAACAAACAAAATCTCTTAATAGTTTCATCGTTAAGAGATTAATATTGTTTGGTAAAAAAAGTCTGTCTTTTGATGGTTTTAAAAAACCTTCTGAATGATTTTATATCATGTGTCTCCTTTAACCATTAAGCTCCATAATTTAATTATAAACGATTACCAAACAATCATATATCATTTTGTATTATATCATATGAATTTTTTAATCATTTTGTATCAAATCATTCAACAACTGTGATTAAATTTGACAGCCGAGTATCACATGAGCATCTTATGGTTTATGGACTAATTTTTTTTTTTTCAACTCAAAATAACTTTAAAGAAGAAAATTCAGGAAGATATAATTACGTTTGGAATTTATGACAAAAGCAAACTAAAAAATGGTGGTCGTAGCCATTTTTTCTTATAAGAACTCCCTTATGGTTGCTCGTCCGCCAGGGTTCCGGTGGTCACCGCGCATGGTTCTCGTGGCCCCATAACTGGAAGCTTCCGACCTTCTTCACACAGTTGACTGCGTGTGGCAACCAGTGAAAATCTCTCCTTCAAAGTTTTCGAGCAGCGAGATTAAACCCTAAGGTTCTGGTACTGAGTAGACGACCATGGCGGTGACCATGGCGGTGACCATACCGGTGAGCACGAACATGTGGGATGGAGTGATGGAAATGATAAAATCTGCTCAAAATAAAGGTGTTGATCCTTTGATGTGGGCGGTTGAGCTCTCGTCTACGCTCTTGTCGGCAGGTGTATCCATGCCGTCGACTGAGGTTGCTGAATTATTGGTTTCTCATATTTGTTGGTCGAATAACGTGCCAATTGCTTGGAAATTTCTCGAGAAAGCACTCTCCATTAGAATTGTCCCGCCAATGCTCGTTCTCGCGCTTCTCTCGAACAGGTATTGTTCATATTTGATTGATTCAGTTGATTTCTCTACTCTTAGACTATAATATCGTGTTAATAAGACAATATTAGAGCTAAAATGGATCATGTTTTTGATCCCGGAGGATGAATGGAGTGGCGATTCAGACTGCTTGAGGTTTAATTTGAGTGCCGCCACTTGAATTTTGTACTAAACTCGTCACTACTACCATGAACATGCTTATGATCGTATGATGTTTTGTATGCTTGATTACCACAAGCATATACTGTTGAAAAGTGGAAGAAAAAGGAAAAAAAGAGTAACCCAATTTTGAAAGTAAGGCTTGGAGAAGAACATCTAAGGCAATTGCTAAGTGGTAGAGGTTCATAATTGGTGTAGTGATTTTTGTAATGTGTTTGTGCTCTATAAATTTTGCAGTTGGATGTTCTTGTACAATTTATTTTTTGTCATACTATGATTATTTGAGTTATATAGCTATTGATTATTGTAGAGTAATCCCAAGTAGAAGAAGCTACCCTGCTGCATACAGGCTTTATTTGGAGCTCCTTAAAAGGCACATTTTTCCTTTGGCTTCTGAAGTTAATGGTTCAAACTATCACAAGTAAGATTCTTATTTTCTTTTGGTTTGGAAGAACCTCTGCTTTTTAAGTATAGCTGCGCTGGAGTCTCTTTTTGCAAATTAATATGGTTATTGACCATTGCTTTTGTATCCTCGATATGCAACTGAACTGAATTGTGAGGTAGTTTTCCCTCGATATATATGCAGCTTGAAAATATACTTGCAGAAATCTTTTGTTTATGCTCATTGATTGATGATTCAATGCTTTATTTATAAGTCTGAACAGTTTTATCCGAATGTGTACACCCTTCCTTTTTAGTTTCCACATCTTATCAGTATTATTAACCAAAGAAAGTTGCTGCATATTATCAATTTGAGAAGTTACCTCCTATGTATGCATATGGCCAAAAGCATTCTGTGGCACATATTTGCTAGCAAAAACGTCTACCATTGATTGGGTGTGCTCAAACATTGACATTGTTAACATGTAATTGCAGGATTATGGAATCTATAGATCAAGCTCTTAACCTCCACCAGATATTTGGTTTTCAGTCCAGCGAACCTGGGATTCTCTTGGTTGAATTTATATTTTCAGTAGTGTGGGAGTTACTTGATGCCTCACTGGATGATGAAAACTTGCTGGAACTTGTGCCTGAAAAGAAGTCTATATGGCCGATCAAATCACAGGACATGGAAATCAATGATCATAATAATTTTGGAGAACAGAAAATTGACTTTCACCAAGGACTGTACAAATCAAATACCACAATGTCCATTGAGATCATTGGAGAACTTTTCCGTAATAAAGTAACTTCCAGAATTCTGCATTTGGCACGTCGGAATATGTAAGTAACAGGAGCTAATAACTGTTACTATATTTATCCATTAGGGCGTGTGGTGCATTTTCAGGTTTAGTCTGTTAGCTATGGTTCTTTGTGTGAGTATATGGTTAGCATTAATATTCTCTGATCTGTAATTTTGATCTCTTTATTTCTAATTCTTTTGCTAATTTATACTTTTAGGCCTGTGCATTGGGGATCTTTCATTCAGCATTTGAGGCTGCTTGTAGCAAACTCAACGGCTTTGAGGAATTCAAAAGATATTACCCCTGAGGCTCTTTTGCAGTTAACATCTGATAGCCGTGTACTACTGTCCAGGGAATGCAAAACAATATCTCTGCAACAATTCCATGCAGTAATGGCTTGTGGATCACTTATATCATCTGCAGGACAAAGTCATGGTGCTAGTCGTTCGGCTACTTGGCTTCCAATTGATTTATTCCTTGAAGACACTATGGATGGATATGTAGTGGCTACTACCAGTGCAGCTGAAACTCTTACTGGTATAATTTAATTTTCTCTTATGGAAGTGCTTAAATTATAAGTTTCACATAAAGAGACATCATTTGTAATGCTATCTATAAACACATGCACATGTGTTTTAGGTCTGCTGAAAGCTCATCAGGCAATTACTCAGGCCTCCTGGCAGGACGCTCTTCTTGGCTTATGGATTGCAGCTCTGCGGCTTGTTCAAAGGGTAAAAACCTATAACAATATCTAGATTAGTTGTTCACTTGGAGAAAATTATCTCTTCAGAAGGTCTAAAATCATATAAACCAACCTTTTACTTCCTTGTATACATGTGCATCAGGTTTTAGAATTCATATTGCAACAACTTTTCTATTTGTATGATTGGTATTGGAACTAAGAAGTTAAATGTATATGAGCTGTCTATTGGTTTGAAATTGTGGTCCTCTTATTGGAGTTCTTGTAAAAGGGGTGCTAGTTTGCTGAATAGCATCAGTGTGGAAGAGGTATTTCACAAATATGACCAGTTAATTAGGTCAAGTCATTTCAATGATTTTGCTAGATGTTCCAAATGTTGAGTCAGCAATGTCACTGGAATGTAGTTTACTGGGTATTAGCCATACCAGTTACATAACTCATACTTGGGAATATGTAGCTTCTCATTTTCAGCTGATATTGCTTGGAAGTTTCTGTCTCATGTATGTTATCCAGTTTGTTCTTTTTTAACTTTTGGGTTTCTTAGGAAGACGAAGCTGTTGAGGGTCCAGTACCTCGCCTTGATACATGTTTATGCCTACTATTATGTACGACAACTCTTGCAGTTGCTAATATTATTGAAGAAGAGGAGAATGCTTTGCTTGAGGAAGATGATCATAAACGTGTGCATCAAGGGAGTGAAGCACAGGTTCTTGGAAACTGTCGCAAGAGCCTAGTTTCTAGTCTACAACAATTGGGTGATTACGAAGGCTTACTGACCCCACCACTATCAGTGACTTCTATAGCAAATCAAGCAGCTGCAAAAGCTATCATGTTTTTCTCGGGTATATCAGTTGGAAGTGGTTACCTTGATGGTGTGAGCTTAAATGACATGCCAGTCACTTGTGGTGTGTAATCTATCTTATCTAATTTGTTCTTTCTGATTCGTTTGTCTTACATCAAGAAAGATGCTATTATAAGTGGGATGGTTTAAATTGAGATAAATATACAACTTTCTGTGCCGAGTCTTTGGACTAAATGGTACTTCTAATTCTTAGTTTTGGTAACGTCTCCACAATCATCATTATATTGGTGGCTCATGATTGGATCTTTGCGGACCATTTCTTTCGTGGGACTGTCATGATATTTATCAGGCATGTGTTTGGATGGACTCTATTGATGTGCAAGTTCAGAAAAGGGTAGTCAAAGATATGCCTGCCTTGCCTATGTAGTTTCTCTAATTTGCACATGATCTACCTAAATAGAACTTTTTCGGCTTATGTCATTTTTCTTGTTGCGGGATTCATGGTTAAATCGGATACTTTCTTGTATGCAGCCGGAAACATGAGACATCTGATTGTTGAGGCCTGTATTGCGAGGAATCTCTTAGACACATCAGCATATTTATGGCCTGGCTATGTCAAGGGGCATAGCAATCAAATACCTCGCACCATTTCCGGCCAGATGCCTGGCTGGTCATCATTGATGAAGGGGTCTTCTCTGACTCCTTCAATGATGCATACTTTGGTTTCAACTCCAGCTTCAAGGTATGCTCGTTCAATGGGTTTGAATGTCTTGATGTTATGTTTTCTAATTTTATGCTTGCCAACAAGATTGCTATTTGAATTGCATAGAGTTAGATCAGTTAGTAATTGGGTCCATTTGTGGGTATTGTGAATGTTATAACCTTTAGCAGGTTTGAACTATGAAGTTCGCGCTGTGAATATACTTCTATCAAGGGGTTTCATGGTACTCTCATTCTGCTATGAACATTCTCTTTTTTCATGAAGCTAATTAGCTTAGCTAATTGCTTTGGGATATATTTAGTTGGTAATTGTTTTACTTCATTCTATAAATAGATTTTTGTATCATAATCTTTTATGCATAAGAAATTCCTTAAGTTTTTATATTACTATTCGTGGTTTATTGCTCCTTGTCTCATAGATCTCAGTGTCAGCTGAAATTGAACATCCCACTAATTAAATAGATTTTGTTATAATGGAAGGTCTAAGAGTTGAAATCGCAAAAAGATGGGGTAGGGTTTCTTGATTTGCTTGTCTAGGAGGTAGAACAGATATCCGACTTCTTCTATCTAGTGTTTGGCCCTACTCTATGTGCCTTCTTGCATGGCTTATATGCTGAAGGACTTCTAGCCACATAGCACAAACGATTTGCTTTTATGGTGTACTCTTAACTCTGCCGGTGCGATAGGCATGCCATTTTGATTAGTTGAGTCTTGTTCCATATTACCTGTGATCTCTCTTCTATAAGTTTCAAATATTTGCTGGATCTGAAACATGGTTCAATCATCTGTAGATATCTTGATACTTGTGCAGATCCTCTCACTAGATATTCTGTTTGCTTTGTATTTGACTGCAATTCTTTTCAGTTTTTAGTTATTATCTGTGGATGGTGTGAGATCCACCCTATGTCATTACCTAGGAATGGGGAAGGCCCTGACTACCGACCTGTCACCTTGGTTCTTTTTGGCTGGAATTGTGTTAATAGATAAGTGTACCTTTTATATAGTTTTTTGTTGTTATGACTTATAAGCAAGGTCAAAAGATTTCTATTAACTTGTCTTATACCATGCTGATATATCATCAGTATGCATACCTTTGAAATCTCCTGAGGCAGTGCACACATACTGGCATGACTATCGTGTAAATATGTTAAGAATATCTCAACAGATTCTCCCAAGTGGAGAAAATAAAAAAAATTTGGCAAATTTTTGCTCCAAATTTGGAGAACTCCCAAAAATGATTACTATGAGAGAGACGATTTTTATTATATTCCACCAATAGAAAACTTTGATTTTATATTTTTTATGAGAGAGATAACATTTTATTACATGTACAAAATATTTTAATAATATACTTAATGTTTTAATCTCCAAAACAGAGAACCTGTTGGAGTTGAATGTATTTTTTGGAGATTTTGAGTCTTGATTCTCCGTTTTGGAGAAATTTTAGAGAATCTATTGAAGATGCTCTTAGGATTGTAATTGATAGAAATGGCTTTGAAATTACTGTCCTTGAAATGGGGATTGGTTTTCAGGTGTTCCCTTTTCTCCCTTCTAGCAGATTATACATGATGCTTTTGTTAATTATTAATTCATATTTTTAGCTGTGGTTTGGCAACTGACTTTAAGCTCTTGGATTTAATGGAAGCTTAGCAGAGATTGAGAAAATATACGGAATTGCAACCACTGGTTCAGACGAGGAGAAAATTTCTGCTGCAACTGTCCTATGTGGGGCATCGTTAACTCGTGGTTGGAATATACAGGTGATTTTGCTCATTCATATGGATTTTTATCTCCTTGAACTCTTACTCATGCAATTCTAAACCATTTGTGGGTGACTTTTACAGGAACATACTGGATATTTTATTATTAAGCTGTTGGCACCGCCAGTTCCTGTGGATTATTCTGGGAGCGAGAGCCATTTGATAGTTTATGCTCCCCTTCTAAATGTTCTTCTTGTAGGGATATCATCTATTGATTGTGTTCAGATTTTTTCCTTACATGGCTTGGTAAGTAAAATTTGGATTGGTCTCTCTTTTATGTTTGATGTAACTTGGAGGTGGCCGAAAACACTTGTTAGAACATATTAGAAGCATCTGTTGTTATAATGTCTTAGGGGCACCAAACGCTTACTGGAGTTACCCTACTGGGTGAGCATGGCAAGGACCGAGTATCATACCCAGTAAGAGGCATAGCAAGGACCGAAAATCTTACCCGGTAAGTGAGAAACAAGACTCTTACCCGGTAAGCGCTTACTGGGTAAGAGACGCTTACCAACAATCTATTTTGATGGCCGAGAATGTTATATGATAAGACAAGCGAGGGTAGTGACTCTTGCCGGTAAGCGCTTGGTAAACGCCCCCTTAGCGTGTGATAAATTAGTGACAACTTTGGCTGCTACCATTTACTCATCTTAGTTGCCGTTAAAACTTTGGAATTAGGCAAGAAAAAAGAATGAGATGTAGATTTATTTATATACTACAAACTCTGGATTTGTGTTGATGTTGATTATGTTTTTTTTCCAGGCACCACATCTTGCTGGTGTATTGATGCCCATCTGTGAGGTCTTTGGATCATGTTCTCCCACAGTGTCTTGTACTCTCTCAACCGGGGAACGTCTATGCCCCCTTGCTGTATTCTCAAATGCATTTACTCTTCTGCTGAAGCTATGGAGGTTTCATCAACCAGCACTTGAACATGTGTTGGGAGATGTGACTCCTGTGGGATCCCAACTAACTCCCGAATTCCTCTTGCTGGCACGCAATTCACAGTTAGCGTCACGTGGCAATTCACTTGACCAAAAAACCAGAAGGGGGCATTTTAGGAGGTGTAATCTGTCGTCTTCTGAGCCAATATTCTTGGATTCTTTTCCGAAACTGACGTTTTGGTACAGACAACATCAAGCCTGTATTGCTTCGACCCTATCTGATCTTAAACCTGGAACTTCTGTGTACCAAATTTTTGATGCCCTCCTGAACATGATGTTCAGAAAAATGAATAGAGGTGGTCAATCGTTGACTCCAACGACGTCTGGAAGTAGCAGTTCTTCTGGACCGATACCTGAGGACTGCACTCTTCGCCTTAAACTTCCTGCTTGGGATATTCTGGAAGCTGTTCCGTTTGTGCTTGATGCTGCTTTGACGGCATGTGCCCATGGAAGATTGTCTCCCCGTGAACTCACTACAGGTTAGTGTTTTATGTGAAAATTATCCTAGTCTTCCATAAACGTCTTTCATCGATTAGTCTGCAGTGGGTGAGTATATACTAACTAGTAGTGGTCAGACTAAGCAAATAACACTGCACTGAAATCAACTGATCTTCCTCTTTATCGAGTGTTTCTAGTAAGAATAAATACTGAATAGTGAATGATGATCAAGACCGTGTCATATCTTTCTATTGATGGATGTTGTAGCTGATCTTTGCAATTTTCTAATGCTAATAACATGTTTTCATGTTGGTGTTACCTGGCATATGGTGCTCTATGTTTGCCTTGTGGCTGTGGGTTTTGGTGCGCATTATAGTCTATGGCATTGTTCCACAACAGTACCTTTAGATATCTCGTTAGTCCCAATTAAGGGTCTTTACTGTTAGGACATTTTAAGTATGATATACCTAGAAAATTTTGATATGTTTGAATACCAGTTTTCAACAGTGCCTGGAATAAGAAAATGGTCATTTACTTAATTAAGGAGTCTTAAAATATCACCCTCCCGTCCCAAAATAAGTATCCTCATTTATATTTTCAGTTTGTCCCATAATAAGTGTCCACTTTCAAAAGTAAGTGTCTACTTTCCAATTCTACCCTTATTTATGAGATGGAGAAAGTCATTACCCTCTCTATTGTTAAGGGTAAAATTGTCATTTATTTGGTTAAAAAGTACGATAACTACACATTGTTAAAACTGTGTTCCCTTTTCATTTGGGAATTTATTTTGGGACAGAGGGTTGCTGGGTCGTTGGGTTAGAACTGTAGTTTTATGTGTGGAATGTTTCTTTTTCTTGAAGAAAGAAGTGATTGCTTCTGCAAGTTTGTTTATTCCAAAAACCGTGCTAAAATATATTCTTACATCAAGTCAACATGTTATGTTTATACATGAAGAGAAAAAATCTGACTTCCTTCCCTTTTGAAACATTGAGAAGCAACCAGTAGACGCCTTCCACAATAGAATCCGTGTGCCTCTTTATAATTCTGGATTGAATTTAGCAACTTTTGTTTGTATCATGTGTACTCAGTGGTGATTATTCCGTTGTCAATATTTATGGCAGGGCTTAAAGATCTCGCCGACTTCCTACCTGCATCTATGGCAACTATTGTAAGTTATCTTTCAGCAGAAACAACACGAGGTTTGTGGAAGCCTGCATCTATGAACGGGACCGATTGGCCAAGCCCAGCCACAAGTTTGGCCATGGTGGAGAAAAACATGAACAAAATATTGTCTGCCACCGGAGTTGATGTTCCGAGCCTTTCTGCAGGTATGGCTTGTTGAAATTTATCTTTTTGCTGTTCAAAGCTCATAGTTTGTCTCTAAAAACTGAACCAAACAAGCCCCGTTAATCCCATGCAAGGTAGGGTCTGGGAGAGATAGGATGTACACAGCCTTTCCTCTATAACAGAGGCGAATCCTGAATATTTTCAACTTGGGGTACAAAATAATCAACATAATATAACATAAAACAAAAAGTTGATTATAAAAATTAGGGTTTAAGTAAAAATGACATACAAGTGATTTTTTGTAACACCCAAGTTTTTTTTCCTTCTTTCCTGTCGCTTTTACCAAAAAAACAAAGAAGGGCAAAGAGATTCGAACTTACAACCTGTAATGCAGCATGCAATTACTCTACTTGTCTGTCTATGATTAAGAGTYTAGGTGGTGTTGAAGCTGGCTCATTCATGCTAGTCCTTTTTTTTATTCCCGTGGAAGTCCACGTTTTGGTCGAATGTTTCCGGCCTCGAGCAACTTTACTAATAAGGGAAAAGCCCTCAACTTAATTTAATTCTAGTAGGGTGCGACCACTTTTTTGTTAACTTAGAGGAGCACACATCACATTAAAGTGGACGCACCATTAAGATTTCTGCAAATCTTTCCACTAAGTTGGCATGATAGACATGGATGGACCAAACGTAGAGCATACGGTGGCCCATGCCACCGTTTCGTTTCTCCATCGCAGTGTAAAAATTTATAGGGTCGTGAAAAGTGCCACCATATATATTTTGAAACTACAATGAGGACACAAGTTTTCCTTGGTAGAGTTGGTTTGCAAGGCTTTTCTTGCACCCCAGACCCGACTTCGAATCCCATTAGTGTCATTTTCTTACTTTTTAATTTCAAATTTATTGTGTTTTTGGAAAAAAAATTGCAATAAAAGACTTGAACACATGACATCGCATATGAAAAGCGATGAACTAATCAACAGACCAATGATGATTTTGTGAAAAAAATATCCCTATATTTGTTTGTCAAATGGTGACACCACTTGAAAAAAAATCTGGGTCCGTCACTGACGATAGAGTAGTAGCACGGGCACCCTTCCGTCTTTAAATCCACCACTGGTAGAGAGGTTTACATGAAGACCCCCAACTTATAGAACACAAATTGAAAGAAAAGGACGCAGGAGAGCAAAGTACAGGTGAGAGTGTATGCAATCAAACATGTACATTAATAGAAAAAGCAGCAGGGACATTTGTGAGGAAAATTAGCTTAAAAAGACACAAGGAAACAAAAAGCACAAAACTGACAACTACTAATGCAATCAAACGTGTACATTAATAGAAAATGCAGCAAAAAATACGAGAAAATAAGTTAAATGCTGACAACTACCAGTACAAGAAGAAAACCTAAGACACTAAGGGATTGTTTGTTAGCAGCTTAATGAGCTTGATGGGACCCAACTTGTTCGGTCATACATGACTGTTTGGTAGTGGCTTAATGATATAGAAAGTGACTTATTTCAATAAGCTTCAAGGGGGAGCTTTATGCAGAAAGCAAAGTTTTTTCCAAACAAAGTTTTTTCCAAACCTGTCCCTCCCGATTAAAGAACGCATTCCTTTCATCTATGAATAAACTCTCCCAACAAAAACCTTCCAATCTATACAGACAGATTAATCCACACAAAACAGCTTTATCCATACAGGACTTGATGGAAAACCAACCAAACAACCCCCAAATGGCCTCTGGCCTTCTAGAAGGTCGGGGTTTCAATTTCCACCAAAGGTGAGAAGGGTGTGTGAGATTATTTGTTGCATCTGCTATATATAAATAGAGTAAATTACGTTTTTTGTTCCTGTGGTTTGTTTAAAATTTCGATTTTCCTTCCTGTGGTTTAGAAGTTACAGTTTTCATCTCTATGGTTTGTAATTCATTGATATTTTCGTCCTTAGGATTTACAATTCATTGTTGTTTCAGTCCCTGTGGTTTACAATTCTCTACTGTTTTTGTCCCTGATACTTAAATATGTAGGAATTAGTCCAGGGACGAAAATAACATTAAATTGCAAACCATAGGGACAAAAATCACAACTTTTGAACCACAGGGATGAAAATCGAACTTATTAAAAAACCACAGGGATGAAAATCGAACTTATTAACAAACCACAGGGATGAAAATCATAATTTACTCGTATAAATATTATATACTTTCAAAAAAATTAATAGAAGCTAAGACTAGTGAACGGTATAAGGGTCACCGAAAAATTTAGGCTTATTTTAACTGCTTGTTGATGAAAAAATCATCTCTTCCTTGCAGGAGGAACCACTCAAGCAACCCTTCCTTTACCTCTTGCTGCCCTAGTGAGCCTCACAATAACCTATAAAGTCGATAGAGACTCTGAGTCGGTCCTGAACCTGGCTGCCCCAGCCTTGAATGCCCTTGGTGCTGGCTGCCCGTGGCCATGCATGGCCATCATCTCCGCTCTTTGGGTTCAAAAGGCCAAGCGTTGGACCGACTATCTAGTTTTTTCCGCTTCCCGGACAGTATTTCATCATAACAGTGATGCCGTAGTGCAGCTTCTTAGAGTTTGTTTCCAATCAACCGTCGGCTTAGCCTCACCGTTTGCTGTCGCAACCGGTGGTGGAGTCGGTAGTCTTCTAGGTCATGGTTTCGGGTCCCACTGTTCCGGCGGGATTGCTCCGGTGGCCCCTGGAATACTCTATCTACGGGTTCATCGTAGTGTTAGAGACGTCATGTTCATGACTGAAGAAATTGTCACTGTGTTGATGCATACGGTCAGAGAGATTGTTTCAACACATTTACCGATGGAAAAAATGAGGAGGGCCAAGAACGGGATGGCGTTGAGATACGGTGAGGTTTCTTTGTCTGCAGCCATGACTCGTATCAAGCTAGCTGCCTCCCTTGGGGCGTCGATAGTTTGGATAACCGGTCGGTTAAATCTGATACAATCTTTGATCAAGGAAACCTTACCCTCTTGGTTCATATCCGGCCACAAATCCGATCTGAGTAAAGGTGAAACGGGCGGGATGGTAGGAATGCTCATGGGTTACGCTCTAGCATACTTTGCCGTGCTTTCTGGCGCGTTTGCTTGGGGCGTAGACGCGGCATCTTCTGCGTCCAAGAAACGGCCGTTTATTCTCGGGGCCCACCTGGAGTTCATGGCACGAGCACTCGATGGGAAAATTTCGCTCGGTTGTAATAAGGCGACTTGGCGGGCATACGTGTCAGGTTTCGTGAGCTTGATGGTTTCGTGTGCTCCAAAGTGGGCAAGTGAGGTTGATGTGGAGGTTTTGAAGAGCCTAAGCAAGGGTTTAAGGAAGTGGGATGAGGAAGAGCTGGCTTTGGCGCTTCTTGGTATTTCCGGGGTGAATGCAATGGGTGCAGCTGCTGAAATGATCATCGAATCTTTGGTTTAACACCCTCAGGTTCGTGGTTATATTTTTTAAAGTATATAAATACTAAGACACACTTCTCACCTCCATGGAGGTTTGAACCTCTGACCTCTACAGAGGCTGGGCTCTATTGGTCACATGGGTACTATCGGGCCAATGACCCTTTGGTGGTTACGTTTTATTTCTTGTAACTTGTTAACTTCGATTTTCCTAACCTACTTTTCTACCATATTTTTATCTCTTTCAAACTATTGTTTAGCTTTTAGGACCAAAGTTTTCGCCCAAAATCTTGCTCCCTCCGTCCCTATAAGTGCCCGCATTACTATATTCTAGAATAATTGTCCGCTTTCAAAAGTAAGGGTGCGTTTGGTACACTAGACATGACAGAAGTTTAACATGACTTCTATGTGGAACAGGAGCAAAGTGAAAGAGGCGTGTTCCACCTCCACCCCCACCCCCACCCCATGGAATAAGGTGGAATATGCCTTATATTTTACCAATATATCTTTAAAATAAAATTTAATTCCTTTCTAAAACATCAAATACGTCTCTCTTTACATTTTTTTTCCATTCTTTAAATTTTGTTTATTGTATTTTATTCTTTTTAAGTTTTCACATTAGTGTTCTCAAAATATTGTTTTTGTACGTTTCTATATTTTGGTTAATTTATGTAATTTATTAAATAGTAATAATAAAGAAAGGGTATAGGGTATAAAATGAAGATTAAAAATTAGTAAACTTCATATTTTGGTATAATTTTAATCGTCTTGACGATAACTTTTTAATAATATACTTCATTACAAAAAAGTTTAATAAATTACATAAACTAGTCAAAATTTATAAAATATATAAACAACTCATTAGGGGTAAATTGGTCATCTTGCCGGTTATGTCCAGTTCTGTCTTACCAAACGCCAAACAGTTGTCTTGTCCTGTCCAAGTACCAAACAACCCTAAGTGTCTACTTTCCAGTTATACCCTTAATCTTGAAATGGTGAAATTCATTACTCCCACCATTATTAATGGTAAAATTGTCATTTAATTAATTAAAAGTGTAATAGTTACACATTTGTAAAACTGTGCCTTTTTCATTGTGGACATTGATTTTCGGACAGGGGGAGTATTTGGGGAGTATTTTCTACAACATTTTACAACACGTGTGTGTTTACTCGTACTCCTAATGTAGAGATACAGTCTCTGTACATCTTACCCTTTCCAAACCTTATTCTGCATGGATTTGTTTTAGGTAGTGGTTACGTTCAGTTTAGATCGGGTAATCAACGATCCTGGAGCTAGGGCTAGTTTGTGTACATATAAAGGGAGCATGACTTGTTTAACGAGTGGGTTGTAACCAGCTGAAGTGTATGGTAAGCAAGCAGATATCTTCTCGAGTTCTCGGCCTATGGAAATATTTCGGCTACATTTTTCTCCCGTGGATGTTTGTGATCATTTCGACAAGCCGGTATATCGTTTTCTGTTCTCTTGTGCAGTAAAAGATGCATCATCCTGAACAGCACTGTTCTTAATTTAAATTTGTTATATTTAGAAAGTAAGTTAGAACCCTTTTGGTGGTTGAATCTAGGGACTCCACCCATAAAATTCCTAATGACTTATTTAAATGAATTCTGTTAGGTGAAGTGTGTTTGGGTTTTATGTTTAATGCTGTATGTTTGATTAGAGATGTACATAAAAGCCCAAGCCTAAAGCCCGGCTACTCCTGGACCGAAAAGCCTAGGCCAAGTGAGCCCGAAGCCGGTCCTAGCCAGGCTGAAAAAGGCTGACTTGAAAAAAGCCAGGTCGGAATCTTTTTCAACCCCAGAGCCCGGTCTGGTCCCCCAGTCTTTTATTTTATCATAAAAAAGAGGTTTGGAAGGCATGGGCCCAGACCCAAAGAAAACCCGAGCCTTATGCATCTCTATGTTTGATTGCATGGACTCTTAACTGTAGCTTGCTCATGCCTTCAGGATCGAAATCCTGAAACGTCCCAAAGATTTATATGATTTGATAAGATATGTCGGTGAACGATATCCCCTTTTCACAAACAAAATTCGAGTTTTGGTGTTAGACTTAGGGGTCGTTTAGTAAACATTTACCCAGTAAACGCACACCGGTTCCCTTTACCTTACTGGATGAACTTGGCAAGAACTGAGACTCTTAGCCAGATAAATTATTGCATACAATGTTGTTCTAACGGATTAGAATCTTACCTGAAAAAATGTGAGTGTGTTGAGTTATATTGGTAAGTGCTTAGTTAAAATCCAAACGTCCCCAATGAGAAATCAATTTTGTGCAAAGTCCCACCAAAAAATGTGATCAACGCATAGGACGAAAAAGCATTAAAATGCAAGGAAAATATCTTTTTTTAATTTAGAATTTTCATATTTTTCAGCATGGTGAATCACCTATGACTGTTTAAAAATAACGTATCTGCTCCATCCATATACAAATCGACCAGCTGTTGTGGTTGTCTAGTACCAAAATTAAAACAAAATTTATTGCTTCATGTGCTTCCTAGAATGCCAAAGCAGCAATTGCATTTGTGTGCGTGTGTGAGTAGTAAATGATCTTATGGATGGCATTATTATTTGTATGAGGATGTAATCTTTTTTGATAACATGAGGAGGAGTGTGCATAGTAATTTTTTCAAATGGTGACAATCATTTGACTATAAGAAAAGAAGATGTGGATATTTTTTTACAAAATCATCATTGGTTTGTTGGTTAATTTAATGCTTTTTGTGAGTTCCTGTATTTACGTTTTTTCCAGACGTAATAAATCTGAAATTAGGAAAGCTAAAAACAAAGACAATGACATGAAAGTGATTCGAATCCATGCCTGGGTTAGGAAAAAAACCATGCAAACCAATTCTACCAAATAAAACTTGTATTGTTATTTTAGTTTTAAAATATATACAATTGTACACAACAACATACTACTACATAAAATATCTTTCAAACTATTCCCCTATAAGATAAAGAAGCAAGAATTATATTATGTGGGCAAAAACTTTCAATTCCAACAATTTCAATCTTTTAATGTTAATTATATTATCTAAAATATCTTTCAAACAAAGTTTAGAACACATCCTTTTTGAAAATGACGATTTCAAGTTTTCTTAATGAGCTCTCCAACAAATTCTTATAAAATAATCACTTCCATCAAACTTTTTATAAAATGGTAATCTTCAACGGCTAAAGGATATATGTAGAAACATTGAAATTAATTGATAACTAATTTAATTCCATGGATGAATAAAATCCAAGGAAGGATGAACAAAGAAACCAAATGGTCTTTGATCCAACATTATCCTTTGGTTTATGGTTTATTAGGAGGTCAAAGATTCAAACCTCCTCAAGAGGGAGAAATATTTGTGAGTTTATTTGTTGCATTTGCTCCATATATAAATATTATATACTAAAAAAAGGAATTAACAAAGAAATTCGACTATTCTTATGCATAGCAACCGATCAGAGAATGGGAAAGTTTTTGGTTGGTTTATATGCCTTTTTTTTCAAAAAGTAATTAAAAAACAATTAATTTACCCGAAACACAAACAAACCTGTCGCTCTCCTCTTTTGTACATTTTGTTGGAGATGATCTAATCATCTATGCTCCTTGCTTCAAGCAAGACGCAGCTGTGCGGTCCCATGTCATAAACCGGTGATCCCGGTATCTTCTCAGGTACCCGATCACCAGCCGTAGAAAAGAATCGTGGATACTGAAGAGCCGTGTCGACCAACCGAACCCATGCCATTTTTGAACCAGGCAGTGGGACAGCGGCCATCACCGGCTCGTCTCCACCATTGATCGCGACAAAAACATCACCCTTCAATTGGTTTTCATCATCTTCATCAACCTTTAGTCTCATGGCTAGAAACCTGCTCGTTGGATCCTCCCAATCGGGTGGAGAAAGATTCGGCCCATGCCAATCGATATTCTCCACCTTCAAAAACTCCCGGCTCTGAAGAAGATCACTTCGCCGGATCTTGAGCGCACTCAAGAAAGAAACGAATTGTGTCGTTTGAATACCGAAACCAGTTTGTAAGGCTTTCCAATTGAACGGTTTTCGATCACCCTGTTCTAACAAACCCCCGGATGATCGACCACATTCGTCTCCCATAGTGAGAACCGGAACACCCAAAGAAATGTATAAGATGAAGATAAAGTTACGAATTTGCTTGAGTCGGGTTTCGAGAACACTTTTCTTCTTGGTGGCACCTTCTTCGCCACAGTTCCAACTTAACTCTCTGGTGTTATTAAAGCTCACCAAGTCTACAAGCGAAAACCCGTGGTTTCTGGTGACGAAATTGAAAGAAAAAGCGGGGCCACGACCGTTCAAGAAGATATCGCCACTTCCACATAGCCGTGTTGCAAGATTACTTAGGAGACTCTCACCTCTAAGATAATTTCGGGCATCCTTACAGAAGTTTGTATTCATTTCTGCCCATCTTTTCCAATGCGGAAACTGGATTTCCTTTGCTGATTTGTGAAATGGGTCGAAAGAATCTGCAATAAGTTTGGTCTTCGAGAGTATAGGATCAAAAGCGATTGCTTCAATCAAAGGTGGGCGAGAAAGATTTTCGCCATTAAATCCTCGTAACATCGAAGAAGCATTAATGAAACAGAAGCCATCAATATGGTATTCGATCACCCAATGTCGAAGGCTATCTAGGATTAGCTGTTGAACGACAGGGTGAGCACAGTTCAAGGTGCATTTTGTCGCAAGATCATCACCTTCTTTGACAAAATAGTAGGATGAATTATCGATCTTGGTCAATGATGCATTTTGACTAGTATGGGTGAGGACAACTTCCAGTAAAATCTCGATTCCATCGGCGTGCAATCTCTTTACCATCTCCTTCATCGACTTGATGGTCGGCATAGAGCCACCAGGAGGTCCAAATGAGTCGTGTAGTGAAAAGAAATGGAAGGGGAAATATGGTCCTACTTGCTTATCAAATGGAACTATCGGCTCTAATAAGATTGCATTAACACCCAGATCCTTGAAGTGATGCAACTTCTCAGAAACACCTAAAAAGGTTCCTCCAATCTCGTTAGGTAAGTTGCTAGACGTATCTTTTGTGAAATCCATTACATTTAACCGATAAACCATTAGTTTCTCCATGGATAAGCGAGGGTGGACATCACCGCTCCAATCAAAAGCAGGTTCCGTACAAATTTTCCCAAGAAAATTCTCTCCTATGACCTTAGCATATGGATCTAATGAAACACGTTTCACCTGAGACTTGTCTTGAGCACCATTTCTGCATCGATATCCATAAGACACAAAGTTCATGGCACTGTCCATTGAAGCATGCCATATGTCACCCGATCGATTGATATAAGGATCTAGATCAATCTCTAAAGCGGGTTCTTCTTTTGAACTGTCGTCAAATAAGCACAAAACTACACTTTTGGCGTTTCGGGAGAAAAGAGCAAAATTGATGAAACCGTCAGCTGTATATGAAAGGCCAAGGGGAGCAGGATACCCTGATCTTATACCTACCGGGAAACAGAAATTTGTGTTTCTATGGCTTCTGATTTCGATCTTTTCACCACTGAGTTGAGACTTCAATAAAAATGAAATATAGAAGGGAGCTAAACTTGCATCAAACTCCAATTCAACAGACAGCTTGTTTAAAGATTTATTCACAAAAGGGGTTTCAAGGATTCCAGAATCGTTCGATCGCAAAGACATTAGTGATGATGAATCAGATCTGAATATGCCCCAACTCATAACTACATCACCATCATTGCCACTAAGCTGCAAATACGAAACCTCAACATCCACTCCATACTTGTCATCTTTTAACCGAGTAATAACCTTCACATGGCCCCCCTTCTCAGTCCTAAACAAATAAGTGGATAATTTCTCAACGGTTTCAATTACAGGAATCGTTGAAGCAGCCAAAACTCCTACTCTAAGATTGTGGCAAGAACCTTTTATCATGTTCTTTGCAACTTCTCCAAAAACTAGGCTCCGCTCCATATCCATTCTTCCTAAACTTCGTGTCACTCTTCTACCATATTTGCAACTGTCAGCAATAATCAACTTGGAGAGTTTAGTGGTTCCACAGGTTAGGTAACGAGGATGAGTTGCAGAGGATAATGAAAGCATTGCCATCGATATGTCTGAATGAATACACAACCGAAAAGCGCAGACATATAACTTGCAGAAACCACTATTACTCTAGATAGTTTTCGATCTCCCTCTGCTTAAACTGAGAAGAATCAGCACCCTGAACAAACAATTTACATAACTCATATAGGGAAGTTACATTCAAAATGCTGATTACAATTTACAAATGGTACTTGGACGAAACCAAGACTCCATGAGTATCATCCAGTCTACCAGTGAAATACAACGATAAAAACATATGATATCAATGAGATTAATAATAACTTAACCTATTACCTACTCTTTCCATTTCATAAATTAGACTCCACTCCATTTTTGCAAAGATCAAGAGTTGTAAGAATGTGATCTCACACATTTCATATTAAATCCCTAACTTCTTCTGGCTAAAAGATCAGCAGCATACAATTGAATGATTCACAAAGAAATTCATTAATATTCTCACACATTTCAATTTAAATCCTAATTTCTTCTCGCTAGAAGATCGCCCAGCATATAATTGAATAATTCACAAAGAAATTCATTAATATACAACAACAATCGATCAATAGTCAGTTGATAATAACTTAACCTATTACCTGCTCCCTCCATTTCATAAATTAGATTCCACTCCGTTTTTTTTTTTGCAAAGATCAAGAGTTGTAAGAATATGATCTCACACATTTCAATTTAAATCCTAACTTCTTCTGGTTATAAGATCACCAGCATACAATTGAATAATTCACAGAGAAATTCATTAATATACCACCACAATCGATCACTATCCAGTTGAGAAAACCTAGGACTAATCAAAATCCGAGATGCTGAGCAGCTACGAAATCATTTAACATCAAGTATGCATATGCAAATCGGAGAATGAAGAATCGAAGAGATTCAGACATAATCAAAACATATGCTAAGAAATTAAATGAAAATAACGAGAATAAAGTACAAAAAAGGCAAAACTCACAGCATTGAGATTGACGAGCATATGAAAAGCTGCAATTCAACTGAATCTCCGTGAAGATGATGAAGAACTATGGCAATTCTACCGGAATGCGTAAGGATTTTGGAGTTTAGTGAAGGGGAGGAGGGTGAGAATGTGCGAGATTCGAAGTTATATCTCTGTTTCTGATTTTGTGACGCCTTTGGATGTGCGATTTAAAAAATTCGGATAAAACAATCATTTTAGTCCCTGTGATTTGATAAAAATAGCGATTTTAGTCCTTATATTTTAGAAATTTGGATTTTAGTCCCTGTAGTTTATTAATTGTTATTTACATCCTTTTGATTTACAATTTATCGTTGTTTCAATCCTTATAGTTTATATTTCTTTAGTGTTTTGGTCCCTTTTACTTTAAAAGGTAGGAATTAGCCCGGGACGAACATAGCAATAGATTGCAAATCATAAGAACGAAAAACTTAAGGGACGTTTACCAAACGCTTATCCGGGTAAGCGTTGATCAAGTCACATTACCTCACCGGATGAATATGTTAAGGACCAAGAATCTTACCCTGTAAGAGCGAGACAAGGACCAAAAGTTTTATCCGGTAAGTGAGAGCGATGACTCTTACCACAGTAAGCGCTTATCGGGTAAATTGTTGCATACAATGTTGTTTTGGTGGACTAAAATCTTACCCAGTAAGTAAATAATAGTGTTTAAATTTTACCGGTAAGCATTTATCGAGTAAGTGTTTGTTAAACGACCCCTTAATTTACTCTTAAAAGTTTTAAATGATTCTATATTTCTTTTTTTAATTAAAATTTTTTGGTCCATGCGAGTTGTGAGCAAAAATAAGGTCTGAATATTTTTAGGCTCGGACTTTGGGGTTGGAAAAAGGCTCGATCGGACTTTTTAAGACTTTTAGCGTAATAGGGGTTTTCAAGTAAGGGTTTCAAGTCGACCCTAATCGTGCTTTAAGGGCCGCACGAGACTTGGGGCTTTTCAAGTCGGGCTTCGAGTTTGGAATTTTTATTTTTGTGTATCTTTTGTTATTTCTTTTAAACTTCATTATTTTGGTCTACGATATTAGAAACCAAAAGTAATTTAATCAAACGCTAAAAAAATGATAAGAAATTATGTAAACCGGATTTATGAAGGATACAAAAATGAGCTTAAAATCTTGTATTAAATCTGTATAAATTTACGCATTTGTAATCATCGTGTTCGTAAGGCCGTTATGTCCATCCTCACATCCTCCTCAGACTGTCCATCACAATTTCTACTCTCCTCACTGTCACAGACGCCATAATCAATCTCAGTGTCAAAACTGCTTTAGTGTTCCCTCTCTCAACTTCACCCCAGAACCAGAAGGCCACATTCAGTATCCTATCTAATATCATATGGTCCAACCACAGGTCCATCTAAGCATCCTCGATTATACAATTTCCAATTATATCTCATGGACCTTACTTGTCGCCCGTACTTTGATTCATACGACATAACTGGTCTGATGGCTACCCGTAGAGTTAAGTTTGCTTAATTTTTGTGGTACCCTCCTAGTCATACAACACCCCATGACAACTCTCCATGCCATGCATACCATAGGTGAATAAGGTCACTAGTCAAAAGTTATCAGCAAAATAAACTGATTTTACATATTTACCCCTTACAGAAACAGATGCAGAAGAAAAAGAATGGTTATTAGATCAGCTGAACAACTAGATTTCCTGTACAAACACATGCCATGTCTTTGACTCGCTCTTGACTCGGTTCCGAGTTACACACATTCTTTGACTCATTACATACAAAACTCACAGGTTGTCCTTGGTTGTTATCACTTTCGGAGCAGCTTTAGAACCACCCTTCGACGTCTCTGAAATAAATTCAAAACGATTTAGGATCATGGAAATCAAGAAACCGAGCCAATTCAAACTGCGGAAATACCGATTCTGTCCTGAGAAGTGTCTTCTTGAGTTCCTTGTACATGATCTCTATGCAAACCCCGTCTTGTTGCGACTAGCTGATTTTCCTCCTCTTCTTCCTCAACCATCGGTCGTCGCTCAAACTCGCAGGCACCCTTGAAAACCGGATGTACATATGCATCTTGGAGATACAGTTTCAAGTTAAGTTGTGGTTCGGTCGCCCTTTCTAGTGTATCTTTTCTCATTGCATCCTGTAATCAAGTGAAATCATGTTACCATACAAATGGGTAGCATTGTCTTTTCACATGTGCAGGATATGGTAGGTAATATCACTCTTAAGGAACCCTTATAGAGAGAGGGGAAGAACCTACATATATATATACAGGTTTGATTGATGGTTCATGTCCGGTCGATTTGGGGCACCACCACGCCCCACCAAAAGGAGGTTAGATAGTGGCCCCAAGAACAGAGGCAAAAGAGTGTGTTGAGTCCGTAGGTGGTACTGGACACGGACTATCAAACCTCTTTGAATCTCTTTCTAAAAGAACCCTTACAGAGAGAGGGAAGGTTCCTATATACATACAGGTTTGATGGTCTGTGTCTAGCTGATGTGGGACTCCAACACGCCCCCTCAAATGGAGGCTTGGTGCCCCCCAAGAATAGAGGTGAAAGACTGTTGAATCCCTAGATAGTACTAGACGCTGGATCTGATACCATGTTAAGTATGTGGATCCTTTTCGAATTTCTCTCTAAAAGAGCCCTTGTAAAATCATATTTATGTGGACCATCTTTTTAATCTCTCTTCAAAAAAGCCCTTATAGAGAGAAATGAGGTTTCTATATACAGGTCAAGTTCAGGGGAAAACTGCAAAAAAAATGAAAAACTAAGGTAACACTCTAGTAACCATTCATCCGTACGTTATACACATGTGCATACAAGTAACTTGTAACTAATTTTTCCAATATGCACACGTGCATAGAAACTAGGAAACATCTTTAATTGCGTGTATGCAAATGTGCATACCGTACAAAAAAATGGTTATGAGGGTGTTTCTCAGTTTTTCATTTTTGGGGGGTTTCCCGTGAACCTTGCCCCCCCCCCCCTCTCTCTCTTTCTCTCTCTCTTTCTCTCTCTCTCTCTCCCTCTATATATATATATATATATAGGGTCATATTTAGGGGAAAATCGCAAAAAATGAAAAAGTGAGTAACACTCTAGTACACGTTCATTTGTACGACATCGACATGTGCATTAAAGTAAATATTCCGGTATGTATACGTGCATAACATGCACGTGTGCATAGAAACCATGAAACTTCTACTATTACTTGTATGCACATGTGCATACCGCATAGGGATTCGGGTGTTCTTCAGTTTTTCATTTTTTGGGGGTTTTCCCCTTAACCTCACTCACTCACTCACTCTCTCTCTCTCTCTCTCTCTTCTCTAGATAGTGCTAAATCCATGTTCCGATATCATGTCAGGATATATGGAACCTCTTTAAATCTTTCTCTAAAATAGCCCTCGTAGAGAAAGGGTATATTCCTACATATACACACAAGTTTGATGGTTCATATCTAGCCGATAACACTAACCACTAGTGGGAATCGTCTGAATGCGGATTCAAACCGGCCCTTGCAGACTCTAAAGAACCAGAATGTCAGGATAGGAAGAGGAATCAGGAAAGGTGTTGCATTAGATGCCTTTTTCGTGTTCAGCAATCCTAAGAACAGAATATGTGAAATCATCAATCCGATGATTATTCGCCGATGAACATCAGGCCAAAACGTCGCACCACTCTCGTACTTCTGATCGTACACATTGATAATCTAACATTTATATACAAAGATACGCAAGATATCAGATAAATGATGACTTCATTGGGATATTCCCATTTGAATTCGGGTTTCAAATAAATGCACATACCGGTAAATTAGTTACCTGATGGCGAAAAACCAGATAGGAGAAGGCGAAAAATACAACAATGAAAGGGAGGAGTAAAGGGGTGACAGTTGAGTACACTAGCCCAAGCAAGAAGTACAACTGTATCCGGGGCTCGGATATTGCCCAACCCAAGGAACCAGCGTCCATCGCCTGCTCTCGGTCCTTTTCTGTTTTCACCAGAAATGCGTTTTTCAAGTGAAAAATGATTAACGGAACCAATCTGAGGATCTCTGCAGCAATTCCAGACCAACCATCTACCATGACGTATGTAATAAAGAACGTGGCTTTCATCGGGATCGACACACCGACAGTTTTAGGAATCCTGCATTGGTTAACGAGCTAATAAGAAAAATGAAAAGTTAACAGTTAAGAGTGTGTTTGGTACGCAATATAGGACAAAAACTTGTTTTCTAGGTTTGGTGCGACATCAAGGGCCTGTTTGTTAGCAGTTTAATGAGCTTAATGGGATTCACAGCTTATTCAGTCAGCTATAGATGACTGTTTGGAAGTGGCTTAATGGTATAAAAAGTGACTTATTCAGTAAGTTTCTTGGGGGAGCTTTATGAAGAAAGCAAGTTTTTTCCAAACATGTCTGTCCCAATTAGAAAAACACTCCTTCCATCTATGAAAAACAAAAAACTTCTCAATCTATACAGACCGATTAATCCAAGCAGACAACTTTATCCATACAAGACTCGATGAAAAATCAACCAAACAACACTGAGACGAGACTGAGTGGGACAAAAATGCATTGTTTTGGTCACCAAATTAAGTGGAACAAAAATCAAGAAGATGGAACAAGATTGGTAAATTATTAAACTACTCATGTCAAATTTAGACCCTAAAACCTTGCACAAATCTTTCACCCGCCTACCAAACTCGCTTGTCCAGTCATATCCTGACCCGACCTGTCCTATCATGTCTACATACCAAACGCACCATTATAAAAATGGGACAAAAAGATAATATCATACTCCGCAGGGGACTGATTCATGAATTCTTTAAGTTGCTGAAAAGCGGTTCCTGTAATGATGCTTCCAAGGAACACATTCACAAATAAAAATAAGTGATATTTCCCAGCCGAACGCGTCTCCAAAGCTGATAATGCAGTATATCCCTCAATTTTCGACATGGTCATTATAATTGTTGGAAGAAGAATGAGAAATATCTTTAGTATAATCCCAGGAAGATAACCTTGGATAAAAGACTTGACTGATCCCCTGCAACGGGAAGTGCGTCGAAAAAATTCAAGATTCTACAAACAAAACCAGGGCATGATTTCTATGAAGAAGAGCTAATATACTCCCTTTGTCCCAGAATAAATGTCCACAACGAAAAAAGTACGGAGTTTTAGAAATATGTAATTATCACACTTCTAATTAAGACAATTTTACCCTTAGATAGTAGAGGGTGTAACAAATTTCTCCAAGGGTAAGATTTGGAAAGTAGGCATTTACTTCTGAGTGGACACTTATTTTGGGACAAACTAAACTAGAAATGTGGACACTTGTTTTGGTACGGAGGGAGTAATTAATTTGGAGCTCAAAAGTTCACTCACATTTCAATAACAGGTTTCAAAGCAGGGAAAACTTTCTGAATTGACTCAATATTGGCCAGGGTTTGAACAAATGCTATAGGGATCATAAAACAGAAAGTAAGACCAAATAGAGCAACAGCCATGAGCAATCTTCGGAAGTTTAGTTCCACAAATGGTATGGCAAGATTGTCCCAGTAAACATCACGTGGTTCAGGAGCCCAATCTGTGAGCCAAATGGTGGGATTGTGTGATTGCTGTGTTTGAGCACAAACAGCTGCACCCCATCGTGATTTGAATGAAACAAATGCTGCCGGGACAATGGCTTTTGGGTCATTTAACACCCTTTCTCTTTCTGCTTCCTCCTAATGTACCCAATCATATGAAAAAGCCAAAAAGAAGTTATAGAAGTAGTTGTACCATATAAGCATTTTGGTAAATGAGAAATCAATTATTCTTGACTCAGCATACTTACTTTTTTTGTTAGAGTCTCGATTTGTTCCGTATAAAAATCAATAGCATCGACATTTTTTCCCCAAAGACCCCAGAAACCTGTCTATATAGTTAACTAGACGTAAAATGACTTGAAGAAAAGGAAGCTAGCGAAACCAAGATGTCAACTGGATGGTGCTAGCCAAATACCTTGGTGGTTGGCCTTTTATTAGGATTTCTCTCGAACTTGTTGGTGTAGTAGGTAAGCCAATTTTGTAAACTCTTCTTTGTTACCACCATAGCCCCAAGAGCATTTGCATTGTACACTACCTACAACTCCAGAATTACACATCTGTATTACTACACAAACTTTTATCCTAGTTTGCTGCTCAAACATATGATAAAAATCAAACCAAACAAACCCAGTGAGTCTCGTGCAGAATAAGGTCTGGGGGATGGTAAGATGTACGCAGACCTTACCTCTATCCTGAGGGGTAGAGAGGATGTTTCCGTAAAAAAAAGAACCCGGCTTGTAAGAAGTTCAAAACATTTGGTTCTAAAAGTTGCAGAAAATTTTGGAAAAGAGGAAAGAGATAAAACATAAATGGTAGAAAAGTAAGTTAGGAAAGTCGAATAAGAAGTAGCAAGCACATGATTAAAAGCTTCACCATATAGGGTGGATTATACTGTATGTTCCTCAAAGAAGAAGCTCACCTGATGTAAAAGATAATGATCAGGGTGATTAACACAGAAGAAATGTTCAACATGCTCACTGACTGATTCATCATCATCTGGAGGAATGTTTCTCACAAGAACCTGCAGGAACAATTATAAATGATCAGTGCCACGTAACTTCTTTCAGAAATCATATCTTTCCCCATTAGACACTCACGGTAAATTGATCAGGACGACGTCTTTCAGCAGCAAGAAAATGCAGCCGCATTTTTGTTACAATCATGTATTCGTTGTAAAGAGCGTAGCATGTCCAAAAGGTGAAGGCGTAAGCCATTACTATATGCGCGAATAACCTGAGAATGGTGATGACAACACTAAATGCATATACTTAATTATGGTTAATAAAATAATTGATGAAGTATGTAAAAGGAAACTCTTTGACACCTTTTTGATCCAGAAGGGACATTCGATATTGAGAGCTTGTCAATATTACTGTATGTTAGATCTTTCATAGTCTCTTTCATTTGCTCGAAATTCTCTCCAGTATAATTGACAGGTACCAACACAGCAAATGCAAGAAAAGTGATAGGGCAAAATATTTTCAAGCTGCAACGACAATTTAACATTAATAAAACTGGAAAAAGTAGCAATCAAGTCAACCAAACGGACCTAGTAAATCCCATGCGGAGGTAGGGTAGGGGTCCTTTGAATGATCTTAAATGAATTGTCAGTTGGGAGCATGACCTAAAAAATTTAGCTCAAGGACCTTCATTTGACCTGCCCAGGTTCAAAACAACATGCCCCTGATTTAAAACAGTTTGATCCCATTATAACTCATAAATGGGTCATTTAAGTTTATAACCTTAAATGATATTTCAATTAAATTCATGACCTCCTAACCTATTGAAAGAAAAATGGTTTTATATTCATCAAAAGGTCATCGATTTAATTAAATCTTGTTTAAGGTTATATACCCAAATATCTCGCTTATAAATACACTAGAGGTCATTTTGCCAAGCAGGCTTTTGGAGAAGGTCATTGAGCCAAATAGCCTGGTCTTGGGGTAAGATGTATGATGTATGCATATTTACCCCAAGGGGTAGAGAAATTAATCTCGTGAAGACCCCAACTTGCAGAAAAAACTAGCAATCAAGTAATAAGTAGAATTCAATTTAGGCTACTCAGACTCCTAAAAGTACTCACCCAAGAAGGTAGATTCGAATATACACAGCAGAATCAAGTCCTGCATGTGCAATTAGCTCAGGTTCTGGCATTCTTAAGGCAGCAGGCATCCAATTCAAGAACTTTAGGTACATTTTGACATCCACATTGACATATTTCTTTACAGCAGTTCCAGAACTAGTTGGACTGTCTCTTATTCCCTTGAGGTACCATTTTGGGAAGTAAACTCTATCGTTGATGGGTTGAAGCCGTAGAATTGCAAATGCCACAAGAAATAGTAAAGCGGACGAACTATTAATTGCAGCAGACACAAGAATATCTGAAAGAGAAGCCATGTTCTTTCTCGAAGATCAAACGCCACCTACAGTTTTAACCGAGAAGCATTTGATAAGCATTGATCAGACGCGTCAACCAATTAGGACTTTATGAGCTTCAGGTGATATCCAACACATAATCCCAACAATATGAAAAGGTTTTTCTGGTATCTCTTACAATCTACATTCTTAACATCTAGCAAAATAACAAAATAATTAAGAAATCACATTCGTTTCTGGTAAAACCTAAACATCCCATAGCAATTTGCTAACCTAATTACCTCAACGCAACACATTCACTAACAACGACCAAGGGGAAAATAGCATAATTCATCGAATTGGACCTTACAATGGGATTAAAATCCAAAAAAATAACTTAAAAGCAAGAATCAAATTCATTTAACTCATACCAATCCGATTGTATTGGCTCATCTAGCAAGATTTTAGACGGCTTCACCAATTGTAATCACGAGAGATGAAATATTGAGAGTTTACACCTTTCCTTCAGCAAATTGCTTGGTGTCAACAAGAAGAGGAATGCAAGAAACAGATTAAATTCAGATAGTATTATTGATTGATTGATTGATATAATGAATATGAAATTTTTGAGGGTTTGAATTTGGGGGAAAATGTGAGGGTTTGGGAGGGAAAGATGAAAGAAAAGGAGGGGGAGAGGCATCAACCGGCATTAAGCCTCATGTCTTGATAGTTGATGGTTAGTTTATAACGTTATATAAGTATGGGTAGACACGTGGCAATTCGCAGCTTCGGATTTTGAATTTCCCAAGTTCCCGAATTGCCCCTCTCCCGTCTTCCCTTTATCAACCGTAATTAATAATATTTATTAAATAATCTTGGATTTCAAAATAAATTTTGGCATTTAATTTTAAGTATACTAGAAAGGTATTCGTACAATACATCGAGATACATTTCGATTTAAATGTTTCGTTTTATTTTTTTATCTATGTCGATATAATACGATTTTATATGGTTTTGAGAAAGCGATAATGTTTTTATTTTTGAATAAAGTATAAATTTGAAAATATCATATAAAATTTACGAAAAATATATTAATATTAATATCAAATTAACTATTTAAATTTTTTTATTTTTTGTATAATTTTTTTATTCAAATTTTTTATTATAATTTAATTTATATTTGGTTTAATAATATAATTTTTTTATAAAGATAATAATTAATTATTTTATTAGAACTCGATAATTATCTTAATTATATTTTAGATTTTCTATATATTAAAAAATGATATGTTTATTCTCTATTTGATTATGTTGATTCATAGTTAGTTACACGAATTTAAACATAGAGTTTTAATAAGTTGTACTTATGTATAATTTACTTGTAATCTTAAATTTTAAGTAATATGCATCAATATATAATATTTTATACATAAAAAATAATTTTTAAGAATTTTTGTCAAATGTTGGAGAGGGAGAGAATGTGGTACATCCTATGCTTATCCCATGTGTACCGTACTTTCTTTTATGTGGTTGTACCTTTTTTTATTTTTCCATATTGATGATGTTGCATTTTGGACATGTCATGTTTGATAAATTTAATGTAATAAATTGTATGAAAAAATAATTTATTTTAATTTAATTTTTATTTTGGGTAATGTAATTTTAAAATTTTTATTTTGATATCTAAAACGTAAAGTTTTAAACATTTAAGTACCCAAATGACCAGTTGAAGCATCAACCAATTACTATGCTGATGTGGCGAGTGATGTGGTGTCCAACTCAATATAAATATTTTATTAAATTTTAAATTCAAAAAAGGTAAGTTAAATCACTTGCCACATCAACATGGTAACGGGCTAATGCTTCAACCGGCTACTCATGTACTTAAATGTTTAAAACTTTACATTTTAGGTACCAAAATGAAAGTCTTTAAAGTACACTATCCAAAATATGAATCAAGTTAAAGTACGTTATTTTTTCATGCAATTTACCTTTTATAAAAACCTGTATTTTTTATACATCATTTTCAATTCACCAAATTATGAACTAAAAATGTTTGTAATTGTAGTTCTTTTAAGAACCCCTGTTATAAGTTTCGTGTATTTTTTCTACATCAATAATATAGATACATGTTAATAATTGTATAAAGTTAAGAAAATATATTAAAAAAAACTAACAAAATGTCACCCACACAAAATTCAAGGTAAGAATCAAGGGTCTTTTATAAGAACTCAAAGGACGTGAGGTTCTTATAAAATCATCTACAATTAGATGATTTTATAAGAACCTCATTTTTGCATGTTAATATACATATCCAAACGTGAGGTTCTTATACATATTTGTAATTGTAAAGTCGAGAAAATAAGAGCATCTTCAATGGAGGGTTTTATAAAAACCTCTTTTTTGTACTTTTTATTGTCATCTCAATTTCAACTCATTAAATTATATAATATAAGAACCTTATTTTTGTGAGTTCTTTGTATTTTTTCTACGTAAATTATTATTATAAAATATATAAAAAAACTGGAAAATTTTCACTTTACATAAACTTCAATGATAAGAACCAAAGTTTTTATACAAAAGCTCAAAGATGGTGAGGTTCTTATAAGCTCTCCATAATACTAGTTCTTATAAGCCACTTTACTTTTACATAATTTTATATTCTACCATTGATTATATGATAGGAGAAAACTTTTCTTTATTATTAAGGATTAAAATATCATTTAATTACTAAAATATCATTTAATTATTATAAAATATTTTATATAAACTCTTAAAAACCATTTTTTATGCTTGAAATACTGTTTACTGATGCATATTACTTAAAATTCAAGATTATAAGTAAATTATGCATAAATATAACTTATTAAAGCTCATTTAAATTCGTATAACTAATTGTGGATAAACATAATTAAATAGAGAACAAACTTCTTATTTTAATATATAAAAAATCTAAAATATAATTAAGATAATTATGGAGTT